CATTAACTTTGACCTAGATTCTTGAGCAAGTGTTACAGTTCAGTTAATGCCAGTCTACTTTCCAAACAGGTTATTAGAAGGTACGTTGCTATAGTAACATCCTATTTCTGAACTGGAATTGCCTGTTGCAAGATCAGAAGGGGCGAATTGAAGAAAAACCCTGTTTAATATGCTAGAAATTATTATTTTGACAAATGTTCCAGTTTACAAGAGAAAATCCTACCTACTTTGTAAGAATAAATGAAGCTTATTTCTTTATTTGGAGACACCTGAGATAAAGTCCAATGGGGTGAAATGCCTATTTATGCTAAACTGAATTGCTTCTTGTGACATGAGCAATTAAATTAGTTCAAAGAATTCCATTACTGAGATAATTGCATACACGTGGTTACTGAATAGTTCCTTGTATTTTCGTAACTCTTATCAAAATCTAAGGTTTTCAATAAGGAGACAGGTCAAACTTAGTTGGTGTTAAGATTAGATAAATTATAATAAATATTGAAGGAGCTGCATGTATGACAAGAGTCATTCTATGTTTATTATACCAATCTGAGATAATTGCACAAGTTCAAAGCATGTCCTCTTACATTCAGCAGTGTGTACAGCTGGACAATGGGTACACTTCTTTACTTCCTCTTTTACGGCTTCGGATGTTGAGGGAGATAGGAAGCTCTGGCCCTTGGACTTCTGGCTGCATCAACTCTTGTCATGTGATGCTGCTGTAGTGTGACTTTGCTGTTGTCTCTCCATCCTCCTCTGGGTCTGCCTCCTGCTCTTTGGCCTTCTCCTCTGTGTATGCCCTGAATTTTATGGACTCCTTATCTCCAGATGATCAAACCACTTTATTTGCTGTCTTTGTACACTACCTTTAATTTGAGGCAAGGCAAACAATCCCATGGAAATCAGTCAAGATTAAGGCCTATTGAAAGTAATGGAATGGAAGAGGTTTGACTAGGCCATATAAGTAACATTTGTTGGATTGTACCCGTAGAGTTCGTATGTCGGTGGCAAATCTAAGCCAGACATTCCTCCATGCACCTCTCCGTTCACACTGAAGTCCAGCTCCTCCCGCCGCCTTGGCAGGCCCTGCAGACACGCCTGTGTGCCAGACACATCCCGGGCAACTTTCTGGAGCTTCTAATAGACTCGGAGAGGGACAAGAAAGAAACTCCGCCGGTCTGATGCCGCTTCCTGCAGGAAGAGGACGGTGCTGCAGAACAGGAGCAGGGACAGGCATAAAGGGAACCCCGTCCCATGAGGAGCGACGCCCCGAAGAGCAGACTTCCTCTGCTTCCTTTAACTCCGGGACGTTAAAGCAGAAAACCAAAACGACAGAAAGAAGAGGGAAACCACCGCTTCGTCCTCAGCGATGCCCCGTCATCACATTGCTTGCTCCACCCTCCTGTCTTGGCCTTCCCAAAGCGCGCGCCCGCGCCGCGCTCCACGGCCGCCTCCACCCATCCCAGCAGCAATTCCTTTTTCTGCGGCCACCGCCCCGCCTGGCCCCGCCCCTTGTGCTGCCTGGTCGGCCAATCCAGACCCAGCCGGTAGCGAGGAGCTGCACTGCGCGCGGGCTGCCCTCGCACTCGCTTTCCTTCGCTCGTCCCTGCGCACTTGCTCCAGGGGAAGAGGGTAGCGGCGTCGTTGCCGCTGCTCTCCTCTCGCCCCTTTCTTCTTTCTCCTCGCCGGACAGCCGTAAGTAACGCTCCCTTCCGTCCCGCGCTCTCAGGGTGTCTTTCATCCTCTTGCCGTCCTCGAAAGTGAGGTTGTGTGCGTGTATGCAGGGGCCCGGTGCAACGGGAAGGTTCTTAAGTGGGGCGTACCTGGCAAGAGCACTGCATGAAGGGATGCGGCAGTTGCTGCGGTGGGAGTGCCGGCATTAGCAGGTGCCCTGCTGGTGGTGCCAAGAGCGCGCTTGGATCTCCGTGTTAGGGACTGTCAAGGAGAGGGCGTGTAGCCCACTCTCTGCCCATGTTCGCTTTTCCCGGCTCTTCCTTGGGAAGGGGGAAACTTCAGCGCTCGAAGCTCCAGACGCATTAACCCACAACTTTTGGGTGTGGAAGAGGGGGAGGCTTAGCCCCCACTGCCCCTCTTATCCCTCACTGCCCCTCTTCCACTCTTCCTTTCACGTGCATGCACGGGAGGCTTTCAGAAGAGATGCATGAATGAAAGGCTCTGCCCAGCTGATTCACTGTCAACAGTGTTTGGGTTTTTCTTCCTCCACCAGCCTTTTTCAGGCAGTCCTTGGCCGCGAGCCACCTGTGCAAGGCACGTTTTCTCCTCCTCAGTTCTTTCTATTATTGGCACTAGTCTTTAAAAAAAAAAAAAACTGAAAAATGCTCCGCTAAAGATAAACCATTTAGAATCGCGTTTTACTTGTCATGTGATAGAAGAAATGTTTTCTCCTTAATGCCACTTCAACCAGTTGGTATGAAGGGACTTCTGGCAGTAAGCTTTAAGGCACCGTCCTGTGCAGACAGGAAAAAAGTTCATGTTTGGCTGGGAATCCTTGGGAATTGTAAGACTTTCTTCTATCTTAACATGCATAGGATTGGGCCATCAATTTAGCTGGTAAACAAACTAAAGTTTTAACGTCATAAATTGTACCCTTGCCCAGACCTCCATAAATTTATGAAACGGGAATGGAAAAGGACTGTACTGCTTACCAGCCTTTCCCAATCTGGTAGCCTTCAGAGGCATTTGGACTACAACTCCCAGAATTCCTTTTCAGCAGGGCCATTGACTAGGAATGCTCAGGATGTTGCAGTCCTAACGTGACTAGAAGGCACAGGTTTGGGGAAGGCCGGTAAACTGTATATACTTGGCTTGCTCCTTCTATTTTCCTCCTCCCCTGCCATTTTTGGAAACAGAAACTAAGATTGCCATAATGATGGGGGGATGCTGGAAGTTGTAGGAGACTTTCTAGCTAAACATGCATAATGTGTCTTTAAATTGCAAATTCGTTCACATAATTGGACATACTGGGGCTTCAGAGTAAGTCTGCAGAGTTGTAGTATTAAAAGGTGACTTTTCTTTCCAGCTTGTTTGTGAAGGGTGTTGGTATTTTGTACTGGAATGAAACCACTATGGGGTTTCCTCTATCACAGGTGGCAATGATAATTTGAAATCAATGCTTTGAGAATCTGGATTGTTCATAATAGCAATGTCTTTTTAGCTTGATTTTTTTTTAGAAAAGCCATTCTGGTTCTTACCTATTACTACATGTATTTGTTTGCTATTCCAAATTCCATTTTTCTGAAAAGGAAAGCCGAAGGTGGTTTATCTCCTCCCACTTATGTTTGACAGTACACCTTGTAAGATAAATCTATTAAGATATTTACACATTTTATTTATAAGTAAGATAAATCCAGAAGGCATGAACATTGTGGTTTTGGAGAAATGCACATTAATTTAAAGTTAATCTATTGATGGAAGTGAAATGATTAAATAAAAATATCAAAATCGGTTGATAGCTTGATTCCCAGAATATGCAAATACAATCTTCCCCAGGTGCTGTTCCACTCTGTATTTAAGATATAGACGTAGATTAGTCTGTAGTGTTAGTGTTCCTGAAGTAAGAAAAAAATTTGTCTCATACAAATAGTGAAAGGAATTAACTGGTTCCATCTCTCATAAAACTGTACCTCTTAATTTCAGATGAAAGTGAAAGTGGTGCAATGAAAATGTGGGGTGTGTAGTTAGGTTAAATAATAAGTAATTGCTACATATTATGTTCAGGTAAACCTATTCTTCCGTTTGTGCAGAAATTATAAGGCATTCGAGCTATACAGATTGCCTGTACGTTGCAGGAACTTGCATATCAACATTTGATATTGAGGAAATAACTTGACATTTTGCAAAAGCTGGGGTTAAAAAAGCTTTTGTATTAGAATGAGTATTTCCCAAGGCAACATTTGACCATGTGAGTTGGCTGCTGTTCACACATAGTTATGATGGCCTTAACTGTCATTAAAACCTCATGCAGCACTACTTGGTCTTCTGCACTGAGGGTAAATTTTCCATAAACCATGTGGCTGTTCTAGTCTAACTGGAATGGTGGGTTGTAAGACGGGCTTTCTTTGTTTAAACCTTAAATGACCTTAAATGGAAAGTATCAGAACTTATCTGAATACTAGATATGAAGTTAACTTGGTTTAGAAATAATCTCAGAATAGGCAAACTAAAGCATAGCAGTTTTGGTGGTTACACATAAACAAAACCACAAAATGAATTGCTAACTAAGTGTGCTGTGGTTGTCCAAGGGAACTTATGTAGAAGGGAAGTTATGTAGAGAGGAACCTGGTGGATGTGCCTGACCAGATAGTTCCAGAAAATGGCTTAAGACTTGGCTGGCCTACTGCTCCTTCCTGTGATACTAGGGTAACAGACAAAATCCTGACCACAAGGGAGGGGCTCACATGGCACTTTTCCCAAAACATGAGCATCAGTTCTGGAAAAACTAGGTTAATGGGAGGAATTACCAGGAACTCATGCTAATCTCAGGGTCAAAAGAAACATGTGAGAGAAGGTGCACAGAACTGTGCTATTTTCTCACATTCCTTGTTAAATGCATTTGGGTTTCCAGTATTTCTTTAAAGCAAAAAAGAAAGAGTAATGGGAGTCCATGCCATTTGCAATGTAATCTGGAAGGAAAAATTAATAGTTCTGGATTCGTGTTAAGTTGTTCTACACCTAAAGATTAAATGTGCAGCTGTCTGGACTTGTGTCTACAGCACTGAGCTTTAGTCTTCCTTTGAATTTCTTTTCCTGTTTTTCAATAAATAGTTTTTAAGAGCTTTAAAATGTTCTTGGGATGTTAGTAGTGCATTACGTTTTATTAGCAACGTTGGGCACTGAAACAATCTGTATCCTAGTGCCTGCAGGACAAATTCTGCTTTTGTAGTCTGGTGGTGCGGTGTGTTGTGCATCAGCGTAACCTTTCCCCTACTTTCCTCGGTCTTGTCATGTGATCTGCCCCTGCTGTGGAGGAAGGGCGGGGTTTCAAGAAGGACGCTGCTTGCAGAAGTGCCTTTCTGATGACATACTGCATGGCTCCATAAAACTAAATCACAAGATCCTGATAATTTTGAGGGTGGGAATTAAAAGAGGGACCGAAAAAAGGCACAAGAAGCTACTATTTATAGAACTCGTAAGTGAAGCATGTTTTCTTGTCTTGCTCCAGACAGAAATAGTAGCATCCGTCTTCCTGCTTGAAGTAACATTTTTTGTAAATATTCAGTTGTATGAAAGCAGAAGTGGCAGTTTACACTGTAGTTGCAGATGAATCTTCATTGCCAGCTCAAAGGCTTGGGGGAAAAGATCTGAAGGGAATCAGTTGTTTTGCTGCTTCAAAATAGCTACTTTAAATAGATGGATATTCTAAATGATAAGGCCAAATTCTAGATTTTCTAGATTTCTTTATGTTCTTCGCAGGAGGTGTTTCCTGTGAACAAATTAATCTGTCTATTTGCTGTCCTTGGCAATAAGTTTTGCCTCCTATGCTATAGCAATTTGAGTACAAAGGGAATATAGTTTGATTGCTTACATTGATGCCACTTAATTGCATGGAATAAGTGCTGCTACTTTGCAGTTATTTTTAAATTATATAAACAAATTGAGAAATGATTTTTTGAAGATAAGCTATCCAAGTAGTGCATACAAATTAGTGCATGCACATAATTTGTTTGAATCCAAAGTTTTGTGTCTGCATTTTTATGTGGAACATATATAAGTGATGTATTTACAAAGGATAATTTTGAGAAAATCTGCCTTGAAACATAATTTAATTGCTACTGGTTATACTGATTTTTAAAGCTTATGTTTACAGCATGTCACCTGTGTTGAGATGCCATGTTCCTTGTTTGGAACATTATTAGTCACCTTTGTCAGCTACTTAGAGCAGCACCATTTTTAATATTGGAGTTCTGTGTTTTCTGACCTCCTCCACTTTTGTGCCATTGAATGCCAATGTACCCCTAAACCAGGGGTCCACAAACTTTTTCAATAGGGGGCCAGTTGAAAGGTGTTGGCGATGAGTGTGGGCCGGGGCAGGGGCACACACAGAGATGCTTTTCTCCAAGTGAGTCCAAAATGATCTCCGCATGAGCAAGCTGCTGCCTCGGTGCGCGTGTGCATGCCCAAAACCTCTGTGGCAGGCCGGATAAATGGCCATGGTGAGCCAGATCCGGCCCGTGGGCCATAGTTTGAGGACCCATGCCCTAAGCATTTATCTTGGTGCCTGCTAGTTGCCCTGACCCTCCTGATTTTTATTTAATGAACAAAAATTAATTGGGAAGCTGACTTGCTGGAAAGCAATGTGCTGCCCTCCAGTGTCATTCTTATTTGGAGTAAAAAGATTGATTTTGTGTTTTGGAGTTCAGTTGTCGCCTCTGCCTTGAACTTAACTTTTGGGGCACACCCATGGCAGCTGCTTTGTGAGTGCCCACAATGCTCTTCAAGTTTCATATGTGTTAGTCACTGTAGTGGTAATGATTTTTTTTTAATGTATAAACCATCTTCCCCAGGTGGTGTAATCTATTAATGTTTGTTCTTCATTAGGAACACCTTATAAATGGACAATGCTTAGATCAGGGTAAGCAGTTCAGTTTTCTCATGCTATATTGGCTATAACTCTTGTATTCCCTGTCCACTGGTCATATTGACTAGGGCTTATGGGAGTTGTAGTCTAAAACATCCTTAGGGTCCTGGGTTTCCTAGCCCTGGCTTAGATTATTATGAATGCCACTCTTTCAGTAATCTAATAGATCCCACTCTCTGGGGCACATTTTTCATTTAGTTTTAAAATGTGCCCTTTTAGGAAATGTTAGTTCAAGTCAAGATGTTCCTAGAAGTAAAGGCCAGTATAAGCCTTGACGGTAACAGTAGAGCTAGAATGAGAAGATGACAATTCATGGAGGCAGGCTGCCATATTGTTTTCTTTCAGTGATGCCCTGAGTTTTAGCCACCACCTCTAGGTCAATGGGACAAGTATCCACCAATAGCGGCAGGTGATGTGAGAGTTGAAGATAGTCATATTCAGCAATTGGGTGCAAGGAATCTTATGCCTCTTGGTTTGTATAGAAGTTAGAGGTACTGCAGTATAGAGGTGACTGAGGTGCTGCAATTTTTGATGTGTTCATAATTTTGCATTAAAATTCTTGCAAATTAACCCTGTGAATACAAGCGGTGGTTCTAAGTTTGAGCAAAGACTAGTAATGTTTAACTATTTACAGTTCTTGAAAACTATGATGCAAATGGAATGTTTTCATGAGTGTACAGAGGAGAGTTGCTTACTGTGATTGTGAACTTGCACAGTCCTGCTGACTGTGACCAGCATCCTGCTGACAAGCTGTGTTGGAGTCCTTTGCCTTTTCCTGCCACCTAGAATTTTTGTTTGTCTATTGTCAAATGATGAGGCTTTCAGGCTCTGCATAGACTTGTTGAAAAGTTGGGTTTGATTCTCTGGCACTTACACTTAAAAGAATATTCAGGATCTCTGGTGTTGCCTACCATAGATAAATCTCTTGCATTTGTGAACACTTACTTGCTTTATCTTGTGCTAGCCTTTTCAGATTGGCCCTATTTCTATACACCTTTTTCTTCTTTGGTCAGCTGAGCTTTCTGTAGTTACACCTATTTACTGTTGTGCTCTTTTTTCCTTTCTGATTTTTGGTATTATATTTCAAACTAGATCTCCATTTATTAGAGTTAAAATGGCGTGTGCATTTATTCTTACCGAATTATTGGTAAAAGGGAAGAAGTTTCATATTGGAATTTTACTTCACTAGCTATGTGGGTGATTATTACATAGTATCTGATCAAATGGAAAAAATGAAGGGAATTCTGTTGTAAAATTCTGTTGTAAAACCTTTTATTTAAACGTCATTTTAAAAATTAGTAATTTTAGTAGTTTCACAGTCACTTTTGATTTATTGTTATATACTGTTTTACTGCATTGTTTTATTGATTGTTCCTATTCATGATTGGTTTTAATGTAAGCCATCCTGAAACGTTCTCGTAAAGGACGGCATACAAATGTTTTAAATAAATAAATGAATAAATAAAATATGCAGTATAGAACTAGAACATAGGGTTTCACACACACCCTGAAACACACTCAAAAAAGCCTGAAAAACAAGGGTGGTTTGGTTCTTGCACCTACTCTACACTTTCCATATTCTGTTTACATTATCTCAGTGCATTAAAGATCTGTTCCCATGATTTGAGCCTCTCTTGGCTTCAAATCTGGCAAGGCCTGTGAGAGTTATTTTCCTAGGGTTTTTCTAGGTTTAAAGTTAGAAATTTTATATCTCCTGTACTAAAGTTAATGGTTGACTTCAGAAAGATAAGTTAGCAGAAAATGCACCAATGTATTTTCATCTATGAATAAGAATGTTTTCTTTTTCTTTCATGTATCACTCTATTCTGTTTCTTATTACTGGATGGAAATCTTTTTGTTTTTGTTCACTCTGGTTTTGGCAATTGTTCATTCAGTGCAATAAAAATAATAGACTAGGCAGCTGCTTGTATTCAAACCAAGAGAACCCTGGGCGGGGCAGTTATCCTTTTAGTTAATGCTGCAGCACAAGCTGAATTTATTGACTGATTTAACTCTTCGAATGTATGCACACACCTTTATAATATATTGGTGTAAGTGCTGAAGGTCCATCCTATTGTTGAAACAAAATGTAAGCAACTCAGAAAACAATATATTGCTAAGTGGAAACACTGTCAGTAAGCTTTGTTTCTGCATATCTGTGGCTCTCGCTCTCATTCCTTAGTTAAGATCCACGTACACATGCTTTGCTGAATGGTATGCTACTAATCCACATCAATGTCTACCCTTTGCTTGAGTAATTTTATGCAGGTTCTGAGTTTCTTGTAAAAGAGAGATCTGCATTTCTAAGCTGGGACGCATGCTCTGTAGCGTCATGCCCTTTTACCTACTTTTCTGAACAGACATGTGACCATTTCAGAAATGTGGAGGCGGGGATAGACTGCAGGGCTACGAAAACCTCTTTAGAAAGCAAGTGTATAATCATAAAAAGGGGAGCTAAATTGGATTATGGTTATTCATGTTTAATACCAAGGCAGCTGCTCATAATATTGGATCTTATTTCATTATTTGTAGCTGCAAATTACAAGTTTGTGTCTGTGAAAAGTATGTATTACAAGTAATACTTAATGCTTGTATTATCACTGTTAAGGTCTCATAACTAAAGGAACTGAACCTCATCTTTAAGTCTCCTGTGTTGTAAGCAAATATTTCTCAGGCTGCATCATAGTTGCTCGTATTTGTCTTTGAGTGTCAAAGAATACCATAGGAGGCTGGTGAGTAAATTCTTTGGGAATTCATACTGTGGAAGTAAAGAAGCAGTCACTGGCAATGGATAGAGAAATAGTGTGCCTTAAAGCTCTAGTTTTTTTTAATGAAGTGTGTCATTGAAATTCTAGTATTCATACAGTCATTCCTAATCATCTATCTCATTGCTGAAAAAATTTGAGATGAGCCTAATCTGCCACTGAGAAGAGAGGAAGTTATCAATCCCTTTGGGCAACTCTTTCTAGATGGGAAGAAATGAGTTTGGTTTGTATTTTAATGTGAAGTTACCTAATTTTTCACTTTCAACTCAATATATGAACCAAAATTCAACTATCCTTTGGAATTTTCACTTACACTAATTTTGCAGTATAATTCTCTACTAAAAAGTATATAACACGTGTAAATAATGTTAAAATGCATTACTTTAAGAAACTGCTTATATTAGGAAAGTGTATAGAAAGCAAGATTGCATAAAAAATGAATATGATTTTGCATGCAAACTTTTTTAAAAAAATTCTCAGTTTGGCACAAACCAATCTTAAAATTGGAAACTGCAAAATCAAATCATCAAAACTGACAGATCCATCCATCTCTACTGGGCAGTAGCTTTGAAAGGCATTGGGCAGAGATTTTTTTCCAGGTTTCTTGATCTATTTAATGAGAAGTCCAAGAGATAATAACCTAGGAAGACTTTTTGCATGCAAAGCCATGAACTTAGGTATAGGAATGGGTGAGAAATTCATCTAGTTTATGCTTCAAAATGAATTTCTCAGGCATACACTTTCTGAACTTAAGCAGAAAATGTTTGTCTTTGAAATCCATACCAT